AGTTTAACTATTTTTTTTTTTTTTTTTTTTTTTTTGATCATTGCTAATTGAAATTATCTATGGGTCTCACTTTTCTATATGTGAAATTTTTATTGATTGGGGAGTTTTCTCCCCTTCTATAAATAGGCATTTTTTTATGTTTGCATTATCTCCTGCTTTTCTTTTTTTCTGTATTTAGGACAGGGTCTACAGGGTCTTACTACATGGATTGGGACTTGTATGGACCTCCTCTTTTTAGCCTCCCCAGTGCTGGGATTACAGGCGCTCATCACATGCCCAGTCTCAGTCACAGCCTTAGCGGGCCCCGCAGGCCTGGCACGGCATGCCGGGGATCAAACCCTGGTCATTGCGCTCTGCTTCAGCGGGCACTTTAGTCTGCTGAGCTGTCAGGCCGACCCCCTGCTTTTTTTAAGGTTCTTTTTTTTTAAAGAATCAGTTAACTTTTTTCCAGTACTGGGGATCCAGGCATGTGCTTATGCCACTGAACTATATCCACAGCCCCATCTCCTGCTTTTTAATCAACTGACTCCATTCAATCTCATGTTACTCTTCTTTTCATCATCTAGCTTCTGTAGGATTGATTTTTCATGTTCCTTTACTATTCTCTGTCTCTTTTTTTTTTTTGGTTTTCAAATGTATTTGGTACAGGGTCTCACTATACAGCTTGGACTCATAGTGGGCCTCCTGTTTTCAGTCTCCCGAGTGCAAGGATTACAAGCGTGGGCCACCATGCCCAGTCACAGTGGCCAGCCAGTGCACCCTGGGGGTGGGGCCTGTGCAGCATGTGGTGCCAAGGATTGAACCCCAGTCTCTGCACTTGTCTAAGCAGGCACTTAGTTCACTGAACTATCTTGCTGGCCCTCCCTTGCTATGTGTAAGAAGTCTTTCCTTTTGTGATAGCTAACCACGGTCCTGTTTTCTCTCTGGTGTCCTGTTCTCACATTGGCTCATTCTTCCGCATACGCTTCAGTGGAATTTTTAATCTCCTGGATATCTTTCTGAGTGTTTTATGGATTCCATTTTGTTCCTGTGTTGGGTGTCGTGGATTCCATAATTTTCCCAAGCTTCTGTATTTTTTTTACATCTGTAACTGCTCTAGAGGCACGGTGTCCTTCATTATGGTCACCATCTCTGCAGTCCTCTGAGACATGATTGCAGATGTGATTATTTTTCTAGAGCTTCTTTCGTGTTGTGTTACGCCTACTGTTACCACTCAGAGTCCAGGTGGGTGGCTTTCGAATTGTTCCACCTCGTTGTACCTAGGCTTGCATTTGGTGAACTGGAAGTCCAGGGTTGCATCTTGATTAAGTGTCTTCTCACTTTCTTTGTTTTTCTTTAGTTTAATTCCTGGGTTGATGCTTATAAATTTCTTGTGGCAGGTAGCTTTATTCCCAGTATTTAGAACCCTAAGGAAGTACTACTTCTCAGAAATGTCTTCCAGGTATAGATGGCTTTTGGGTTTTGAGTCTGTTACAGTATTCTTCTACCTCTTGAACTTATTGGTGATGAGAAATAGCTGGCAACTTGGCTCAGCCCCTGGTTCTTTGGCACTGGCCTTTGGTGTTGTTTGTGACCCTTAGGCCATCTCAGTCTTTGTATACCACGAAGAACAACTGATTAAAGCAATTAGGTCACCTTGGCTAACATAATACCTTCAGCAATAACAGCATAAAACAGCCTAGAAAATGACAAGATGTGGTAACTATTAATTTGCCACCTTTAATATCATGAACTATAGTGTATTTGTTGTTAGGTAACAACCCAGAACATTGTATAGGTAATGTACCCTCGATATGGCTAGTTTACTATTGCGGGGGATAAAAATGTTTGGGTACAAATAAAGAAATGAAGAGGAAGAGATCAGAGTCAAGGT